CCGTGTCTTGCCTTCTGCTGTTACAAAGGTAGCAGTTATTGGCTGGAGATGTTGTCTAGACGAACAATGAAAGCTTTTCAATTACATCAACCAGCAACTCAGAAAACACAATCACATCAAAATCATCCACCTGAGTTACAAATCTTCTCTTTCATTGTTTCAAGCGCAGTTTTGACACTGACTCCGCACCAAAAGAAAAACCAACTTGTAATTAAATTATACAATTTATTCTACTTACTAAGAGGAATAACCAGTGTTATCGGCTGTAACTCCATCCTCACACTCCTGACTGGATGGACCCCACTGGTCACGACTTCTCACTAGAACTCCTCCAGGAAACTCCGTCCTGTAGCAAGTCACTAGTAAGCATCAAATTAATTTTCAAGAGTTGATTTGTAGGGATTAGTAGAAGTTAGAATTCATGGGCTGGCCAGTGAATCGGGTCCCAGTGGCTGAATACTATACGAGCTAGTTTGCCTTGGAACCGGAAGTTTATAGGTTCGAACCCCGTTGGTGGGTGCGTACTACCGATGATTTCCAAACTTCGGATGAAACAGCTGTCCAGTTCTCCAGTGTTGGTTTTCAATGGTTCTCTATTTGATATCAATTCGTGGGCAAACTCGTAAAAACAAATCAAATGCTTACAAATCAACCCTTGAAAATTAATAAGATTGGCAAGTGAAATTTCATCCTATCAATTGTAGCAACACCGCACATATATGCTTTATATCATATGTGTTAAGTTACCATGTAGGTTAGATTTCGCGGGTCAATAATGAAAAGATAATAAGACAGTATGACCTCTTTTCGAATTTCGTCTCTATGTATGTCACTGGATGTGTGTGTGGATGCACGCGTGTATCTTTTGCAACTAATGTGCATAATTTATAATACTGTCTACTACTATACATATATATATATATTTCATAATCATATGAATGACCTCGAAATGCCTAATTCTAGCTAGCATAAGTGTATACACAATTACGAAATTATGGTGAAGACTGTGTCAGCCCTTTCATGTTTTCTCTCTATTACAGCATTCACAATTATATAAACTCAATCAATAAATTAGCTCTTTTTTGACCAGTTTTAACACATCATTCACTAGTCATAAAAACTATACCTGTATTAATAAAACTTTAGTGCACATGTCTACATACACATATATATATATATATATATATATATATATATATATTAATTTAGTAATCTATGTGAATTAATTTCATGACATAGAGATTAGGTCAACAAAACACTCTATGTATATGCATGTTCTGTCTGTATGTATGTCTAATTATATACACATACATACACACATGCTAAAAAGTCAAACCTATCATACATTTGGTGCAGTGTAGTGTAGTGTATTCGAGTTTTAACAACAACAGTAACTACTAAATGTGTCATATTAGTATCTATGTCGACAAGGTTCACATTGAGTTTTTTAGATGAATCATTCAATAAGAGGATTAATAAACTTGAATATTATAATAGTATTTATATGGTAGTGACCTTCATCAACAGCTGTCTTCGCTCAATACTCAAGATCAGATGACCAGAGAAGATCAGCAACAGCGAGGGATCTCTGGCAGTGAGCAAACCAACCAGGATCCGATTGTGCAACAAATAAGTAGGAAGAAATGGAGGTAGATTGGCTATACTCAGAGAAAACAAACCATCAAGTGAAATCACACGACAGGCCATCGCCCTAGTGGAACCCGGACGAGAAGCGGAGAGCTGGTCGTCAGTGCGAGGGTGACAGGGAGGAGGTCATGTGAAGAGGAGGTGAAAGCATGCGGGTAGATGTGGAGCGAGGTGAAAATTTAGCAGAGAACCGAACGCAATGGAGACGTGCAGCTGAAGCCATATATTCCTCTAGGAATTAAAGGAAACAATAATAATGATAATAATATAATGGTAGCGATGATTAGGAGTAGTAGATAACCATAACGACGGCGACGACAACGCGGACTGCACTCTATCTGAAAACCTGTTAGCAGCTGTAGCTGATCATCCGTCTACGCTTCCTGTGAATAACTTGTTTCTTTTTTCAGCATAGAACTTTGCACAAAAATAGAGCAGTTCGAGTGTTGCTACATTTCGTGTACCAAACAAAAGAACATAGAAAAGAAAGAGATTCAAAAGAACTAAAATAAGCAGAAACGTGTGTGTGTGTGTGTGCGCGCGAGGGAGAGAGAGAATACTAACATGGAAACACACATGATGTTTCAGTGGACATAGCTGACAACAAAGAATGAATGCATTTGCGCCATTGAGAACGATTTTCAACCCGGTGGGTGCGTACTGTTGAAGAGTCCCAAACTAGGACGAAACAGCTGTCCAGTACTCCCAGGTTTTCCAGTGGTTCTCTAACCAATGTCAGCTCATGATGAAATCCTGTAACCAATCAAATCCCTACAAACCAACACTTGAATATCAATGAGATGCTCACTAGCGACTTGCCCTATTCAGGTGGGTAGTCACCTGGGGTTCTAGTGAGAAGTCGTGACCAGTAGGGTGCAGCAGGTCGGGTGTGAGGACAAATACTCGCCGAAGACATTGGCTAGGGGTCGCGCTATGTCGTGAATTGGCAGAAGTTAGAATTCATGGGCCATTGGATCGGGTCCCAGTGGCTTAATGGTATACGAGCTCGCTAGCCTTGTAACCAGAAGGTCCTGGGTTCAAATCCCGGTGGGTGCCTACTGATGGAGAGTCCCAAACTAGGACGAAGCAGCTGTCCAGTACTCCCAGCTGGTTTTCCAATGGTTCTCTAACTGATGTCAGCTGATGATGAAATCCTGTAACCAATCAAATCCCTACAAACCAACACTTGAACATCATCAATTGTCTGTCTCCAGCCACCATTGGTTTTTACCATCACGAGGACCAAAACCAGGAAGTCTAAACTTCCCAACGTGACTGGCTAAAACTAACTGTTGTGGATTTCATTGATTGATGAAGCCATGTTTTGGTTTGACTACACCACTGGTTATTTTCCAAACTGATCCACCCTATGACAGCTAACATTGCCCATCGAGGCATGCGTACCACATATCCTAACCATCTCGCTAAATCGATGTAACTCCACAGCCTCGTCGATTGATTTCCCCTCCTCACCTAGCACTCGACCGACCCCTAACCTGGATATTACTTACCCTACTATACCATTCCATACGGGAGATAGAACGCAGGCACCTATGATCAAAGACAGCTAGCCAGCCTTTTCATGTCTTCCACTTTCCATGCCCAGGTCTCACAGCCATAATAAAGGAGAATGGAGTGGACTGGGGAGCAGTACACAGGCCCTTTATTCAATAGCCGGATATCGCGCCTACGCCAGAGATGGCGTAGACTGGCATATGCGAAACTAGCCTTCTGCATCCGTGTTAAGATTTCGTCAACTTGTGCTGTTTCGTCCTTGTCTAAGACCTATCAGTTACAATGCGAACCCATAGACCATTCATTCAGCCAATGATACTCGATCCAATGACCCATGGATTCCAAATTCACCTAGTTTGAGGACTGATAAAACGTCCAAAGCTGGGATGAAACAGTCACCCAGTACTTTCTGGTTTTCCAGTGGTTCTCTGTCTGATGTCAGCTAGTGATTAAACCTGTAGCCAATCAAATCACCGTAATATAACACACTTGAAGATCCCAGCACTGCATGAAAACAAAGAAACTCTAACTGGCTTGACGACTGTTCTGGAATTTGTGTACATTTGTGTATATATATATATATATGACACTAAGAAAAGGAATAGACGTTGAGTAGAAACGCAAGGCGAATAATAAGGTGAGGGTAAACTTATCTTGCGAAGAAATTTTTAGAAACACAAATACAGTAAATTATTTCACCAATATAAATCAGGAAAGATTCATTCTAGTTAATTTGTGGAGTTATAGTAAACAAACTGTTGAATTAAATGATAAGTGCAACAAAGTTGATGACATTACACATATATTGTAGTGTAATACTTTTATTGGACACTAGTAGTAAGTAGTGTCATGTGTCTAGTCCTTTCTTTGGTGCAGATTGAATTCCATTAGTCAGGTTTGCCATGAGGCCACCATTCTAGGTGGCTCGCCATCGCGGTGAACTTTGAATTGTTGATGTGAGATGGTTGGAGGCAATCGGCCACAGGAAGCCTTGGACCTAGGTTTCGTGCTAGTTGGCACTCACCAGTCAGCAAGGAGTATCTGCAACCTTAAAGGAACTCATGTCCCTTCTGAGATTCGGGCCCGGCGTCCCCAGTGCCACCTGCAGTCAGAGACGTTACCACTGAGCCAGCTATCCGGGCTCGCGATTGACCTCCTGTAGGACTGTATTGGAAACTTTCATTGGACACTAGTAACTAGTGTGATGTGTTTAGTCCTTTGTTTAGTGTAGACTGAATTCTACCAGTCAGGTTTGTAATGTGCTAATATAGGCGCAAATTAAAAGGAAGTGCTTAAAAATTGGAATCAACATTTCAAGACAATGATTACAGAAGCAGAAGTGTTTATTCCTCATATGTGGATTTAGTTTATGCTGTGAACTAGGAATAATCTCATTGGATAACTCTTCTTCACTGTGTTTAACCTTGAGTCAAATGGCCAACCAATCAGGAGGGTTTATTGTCCGTTGACGTAAGTAGTCGACTTTTGATATGGTTAAAAATGTATATGATGCGTTTTTCCATAATAAAAAAGACCCTTACCAATTCTCCTGTCTTCTGTCGTTACAGTAGGAGTGTTGTAGGCCTATTGTTTTGAAAATACACTGGTGAAAACTGCATGAATCATTCATCAGCTGGTCTTTTCTAACATGTCTGCCTAATTTATTATTATTACTATTACTATTATTATCTTTCTCACAGGTAGACACATAAGTATATTTCTCACTAAATGGCATAAATACACGAAAAATAAACATTAAAACAAATAAACTAATTATTGTCGGGATAAAAACATGCGATCAATAAATTAAACTCATGTGTTTAACAATAAATACTCACTATTATACCGGGTAAATAAACAATTCAGAACAGGTTGATAAATCTTCTTTGGATCCTTCGGTTGTTTAATTACTGTGCACATGTGTACCATAACTGTATGTATAAAACGATAACAAAAAGGAAAGAAACATGAGAATTACAAATATACGTATATGACTCAGAATAGGGCATATATTAAGAAATGAGATTCGTATAATTTAAAACATATATACCAACTAACTAGGTGAGCATTTTATTATCTCTGCAACAAAGGCATTGGAGATTAAGAATTTATATTTGTGATAAACTTCGCACACAAAAGTGTAACAGTTCAATTCACCACACTCCACATAGATCACACCTACCCACCCACCCACAGTGTTACTTATCATATTAGTTACTTCAAGTCTTCCACACTTTCAACAGCCATATGTCACAGTCATAAAGAAGGATGAAAAGAACTGCTGCACTGTACACGCACACAAATCCTATGATCAACAGCCAGGGCAAAGTTAAACTTTAAACACCACTAACTACCAATCAGCGAACGACTTTCAACGGATCAATCACATGAAGGAGGGATTTATGATAAAGGAAAACGTATGCTAATGAAAAAAAGCATAAAACTGTTACATAGGGTGTCTTTCTCCATCATGTGACAGAAACATCTCCCAGTTTAGCATAGGAGTGTCAATAGAAAAGTTACACCACATTCTGTACATATTTTCACCCAAATGACTATAAATGACATCCTTTTGAGATCCATTTACAGTCCTAATCCTATTTGTAATATTCCCCAAAATCTTTCTATAGAATTCGTGTATGTCCCTGTAATTGGATCCAGAAAATCACTAGAATGGTTCACTCTGTGATGAATATATCCAAGAGATGACAGAGAGTTATAACCTTTCCATTCATCAGTATGTACAATGGATCCCTGTTTCACCAGTCGAGTGAAAATAGGTACTAAGGTAGTAGACTTTATGTCTGATATTCTCTCCACGAATCCTTTTCGTAGGGAGGTATCATATAAACCTGTCACCCAAACATTGTTGGCTCGCTCACGACCACAGATGCCTTTTTTCTTCAATAAGACAGTTTCGTCCACGTGTATGACGACACCTTTTTCGCCTAACAACGAAGTAATTCTCTCTATTTTCCATGTGGCGATGTCTTTGCACTGCTGGTACCACGGAACTGTTGGCACGAGGCTATTTCTGGTTCCAGCAGATGCGCCTCTCACAGGCTGTTTTAAAACCCAGAAGTTACAAATATACAAAATTTGGGTTAGGGAGAGATGCGACCTAGCAAAAAATGTTCCTACGAAATAATAAAACTATCTGCTTACCTTCTCTAATGCTAACTTGTCTCAAACAGATTGCACAATGATGGATATATTCATCAATCGACCTGCTAAGTCTTTTTCAACTCATGACACCATCACATGAACAGATCCTCTCCTCCCTAAACGACCTCAAATCCAGGCAATAATGCAAAACCTTATCCTCATCGAACTGCAAGTGTAAGTTCGTTTGAGCAGGCATTTGATACGAATCAAGCGCTATACAACCTTGAATTCAAGTTCATGAACCTCATTGGACTATTCGAGGTCATTCGCTGATTGGTAGTTAGTGGTGCTTAAAGTTTAACTTGGCCAGAGCCAGATATCAAGTCTACACAAGAGAGAGATGACGTGAGTTCGGCAAATATCATACGAACTTTTTGTCTCTGTGTTGAGATTCTGTCACCAGTAAAATCTATAAAGAAGAGTCAATGAATTTGTTTCAAAATCATTTTTCAAAGTCTCACAACTTGAAGAAATAAATGGATAAAGAGATAATGAAATGAATACTTGTTATGCTCAGAGGTATCAATCAGTTACACTGAATTATATGCTCACTGAATGAAATTATACAAAAACAACCTGAATGACTAACATTCTGTTTTCCTGAACATTGTCTAAGTCAGTGCATTATACGAAATAAGAAATCGTGGGGTTGTTGATACTTTTTATCTTTTGGTACACAATGAAAAATACGCAAAAACTAAGCATTGATGAGGTGTAAAAATGTAACAAGAAATTGCTAATTAGGAAGATATTGAAATATATAATCAAGACGATACAATTGAGTAAGTCACAAAATTAGAATGCTTGGACCTGTGCCATTGAAACACAAAAATGTATTGGAAATTCGTTCCGTTTTATATTAGAATTTCTTGAATAACAGAAAAAATGTTAAAAATGTGCTGGCGAAGTGAGTCAACCGTTAGTTAGATTACAGTTACCCAGCACTGGACTATAAGCCACACTGATTGTATGGGGGGGGGGGTAGTTATAGCATCCAGTTACCCATGATGAAGTAAATAAAGCGGAACTCAAACCTGGGACCCATTGACTGAAGATCAAGTGCTTAAGACAATACGCCACATCGCGACAAATTCACACACTGATACATCCATCGGCTGGGCATTTATACACTGGTTTCCAGGAGAACCGAAAACACATACCCGTGCCTTTTGCGAGACAAGACCACCATGCAGTATCATCTTGTGAAGCAGCCAGTCGACAGAACACTCTTCCTTCTTGGACCATCGTGAAGTGAAGTGAAAAAGAGTAGAGTCTTTCTAGTTATTTACTTTGGTTGTAGCTAACAGTGGAATCCACGACACTCATCACCTAGATATCTGTAAATTTCAGAGAGTGATGGTGTCTCCTTCAGTTTGAAACATACTGTGATTCTTACCTACTGAATTCATGCATCTCAATAACAGTTGATTGAACGTTGTATTAAATGGAAAATTGGATGAAATCGAAAACTAGGAATCTCTAAATCCCGGCATACACATGAAAAGCAGTTAAGCAGTGGCTGGCTATAAAACATGACATTTTACGAGTATAATTTAGTCTCGCGTTGAAGATGCGGATTTCTCACTAGTCGAAGACAAAAAATCAATCAGCAATTTAGTGATCCAGTTTTTTCTTAACTCAGTTAGTTATCTGTATCAGACTGTAAGACAAAGTTATAGTGTTTCAGGTGCTGAATATTCTAGACAGTTATCCAGATTAAAGTAGATGGAGCGGGATTCAAACTTGTGCTGAAATCCAAGTGTTTAAGCCAATAAGCAAATTCAATAATTCAAAGTATCTTTATTTCCAAAGACTGTTGAGTGATGCGAATTCACCAAGAATATATATGGCGTTTTTTTAGGAATTTAGATTAATTCCAATGTAGATCTCATCACAGAACCAACATCACTTAAAGAGATAGTTGAAAACCACTGAGCACTGGACAGCAGTTCCTTTTTAGTTGGGCAGTGCACACTCACAACCCCACCAGGGATCGAACCCAGGGCTCTCGGGTTAAGAGATAGACTTGTTAACCACTCAGCCCATTTGGGTTAGAATTTACTCCCCCATGAATCCTATTTTTTTCTTTCAATTCCTGATATAGTGCTACCTTCAAACGATACGTTTGATTACTATCTACCTAACCTTGACACGGTGGAACGCATTGATGACGACTTTTCACTGTGTACAGGTTCAGGATATTCATCGAGTAGATATCAACGAACTGTAGATTGCTATTAAGGTATATAGGCGGCCTACTTCAATCACTGGCCTACCGAAATCGCTTTCTACCAAAATGTTTAATTTCATCTGGATTTATCATTGTTTTAGTCGTCCAGTTATGTCAAATGACCTATAAATGAACTTGTGTGCTTATTCAACTTGCTTTCAAGTAAAAGCTGTGCAATTCTTCAACGAAATGAAGATATACTATAGAATATTAATTACTTTACATGTAAATCCTGTTTTCAGAGAGAAAATTAGTTTGGAAGTAAACACGCTGAAATTTTTTGTGGCATATGTTCGTATATTGTTTGAAATAAAGCTTTATTATTATTAAAAGGTTTTCATGGAGGTTGTTTGAGGGTAGCGTTATATCACGAATTCACAAAATTAGAATACAATGGCAAATGAATTCCAATCAAATTAGCTGACTTCTCAGCGAACTTTTGACCTCTGATGGGGTCGTGGATGTGTGGTGCTGAAGAGTCCCTAATTAAGGAGAAACAGTTGTTCAGCACTTCCTAATTTTAAATGGTTCTATTTTAATTTTTAGAATTTTTTATTTCTTTGCACTCCAAGTGGTACATAGGGCTTCAAACTTCAGCCTTGAAGTTTCATTAGTAGTGGTTTTATTTTTATGGGATGGGGTTGATAGACTCGCGCGCCTATCCTCCCTCTTTGTCGTGCTTACAGCTGACTAAGGGAGGTATATGTATGCATCAGCTGGGAATTGAACCGTCGACTACGTGCTTGTTTGGAGAACATTCTATCACTGAACCGTCGATGCCACCACGTTACCGTTATCAGTGTGAGTGGAGACGCCGGGGATCGAACCCTGGACCTTTCGCACGCGAAGCCAGCGTCCTAGCACCACTGACCTACACATCCTGACACACAAGCTCAGTGAGGACGTGTATATATATAGTACAATTTCAAAATGCTTGTATAACTGATATCAGTCCGTGACCAAACTTGCAACCAATCAAATCCCGACAAATTAACATTTTATAATTAAACTAAATCATTTGTAGCTTTTTATTTTTCAATAACTGGAAAAATGTAATTAAATGGTTGATTGAATTAGAGAATGAGAGAGAGACAGAGAGAGAAATAATCTGTTTCAATTGAACAGTCCAATAGATTTTGTTCTGGCTTTAAAAATGAATAATAAATAATAATATCTAGGTGTCTTCTAATAAAAAGAGATAAGAATAGACACAGAGTGAGTGAGGGTAGTGTGTGTGTGTGTGTGTGTTGGTGGATTCATCAAAATGATCAGAAAACGAGTAGGATAAAAGAAAAAGTATCAAGTTAAACAACAGAAACAACAACAGTTACTTCGTCTTACAATTAGTTAAACAACAATGACAACAAAAAGTAGTTCCAATCTTAAACCAAAAGAAACACCATATAGATCAATGAAACAATAAAGTTGACCTAGTTGGTTGATACCAGATTGAAAAAAGAAGGTTTGAAGGTAGGTGAGGGTGTTTAGGAGAAATTGAGTACATATTTTATTAAATACAAATAAGATAATCAACCA